AATAAAATAAAATGCTAAGTTTCAGGGCTGGAGAGACAGCACAGCAGGTAAGATGCTTGCCTAGCAGACAGCTGACCAGGGTCAAATCTTGGTACCCATTATATTTCCACAAACCTAGCCAGGAGTGATTCCTGAGCTGTAAGAATTAAGCACCAGGAGGGCCGGAGCGATAGCACAGCGGGTAGGGCGTTTGCCTTGCATGTGGCTGACCTGGGTTCGATCCCCGGCATCCCATATGGCCCCCCAAGCACCGCCAGGAGTAATTCCTGAGTGCAGAGCCAGGAGTGACTCCTGAGCATTTCTGGGTGTGACCCAAAAAGCAAAAAAAAAAAAAAAAAGAATTAAGCACCCGGGGCCAGGAAATTGTATAGTAGTTATGGTCATACCAGGTATGCACCCACACAGATGAGTGTGACCACAAAACCAAATAAAACAAAACAAAAGAAAATGCTAAGTGGGGCTGGAGTGATATCACAGCGGGTAGGGCGTTTGCCTTGCATGTGGCCAACCCCGGTTCAATTCCCAGCATCCCACATGGTCCCCTGAGCACCGCCAGGAGTAATCCCTGAGTGCAGAGCCAGGAGGAACCCCTGTGCATTGCCGGGTGTGACCCCAAAAAGCAAAAAAAAAATGCTAAGTATCTTGGACTGGGGCTCAGTGGAGGAGAATTTACCTCACACAAGGAAACCACATTGCTCTATTCCCAGCACTGCGTGATCCTAAACACCTCCTCCAGCAGCCCACCAAGCATGAAACTGGATGTTACCCTAAACTCCAAAGTAAAATAAGAAAATGTTAAATATCTTTAGGGTGTTTGCCTTTCATGCGGCCGACCCGGCCAACCTGGGTCCAGTTCCTCCTCCCCTCTCGGAGAGCCCGGCAGCTACCGAGAGTATCTCGCCCGCATGGCAAAGCCTGGCAAGCTCCCCGTGACGTATTCGATATGCCAAACACAGTAACAACAAGTCTCATGATGGAGACGTTACTGGGCCCGCTCGAGCAAATCGATGAACAACCGGAGGACAGCGCTACAGTGCATGTCATTACTAAGGATAATAGAGAACAATAAGAATTAAGCATCAGGGCCAGGAAATACTATAGTAGGTAGGGTCATGCCAGGTATGCACCCAATATAGTTTTTGAGTCGCGGCACCCCAAGGGCCCCCAACATCGCAGGGGTAACCCACACATCCCCACACTGCAGTGTCTGAGCAACATCACATCCTCAGGCCCTTGTGATGAACCTCTGGGTGAGAATCACCCCAAACCTCCTGAGCACAGCTTGGGACTCCTCTCCCCAAATAATTTTAAAACTTTAAATAAAGGAAAAAGAACTAAACACCTACAATATCTTCATTCCTCTTGCAGTGTAGAGATTGGTCATCTAACCCAGAGTTGTCCTCTGCTGACGTGGACCCATTTCTTATGCTAAGACCTTTCTGACTCACATTCCAAGAGCTGACTACAGCTTCCTCCTCACTGCTATGCCAACAACTGTTCTTTGATGTGTGCATGTGGATGAGTGTTCATATTTGAAGGACTTTTGGGCTCAGAGAGATAGTAAGGGGGTAAGGTGCTTGCCTTGCATGTAGCCGACCTCCTCACTCCTGCCAGCAGAGAACTGCAAGTAGCCTCCAGGTACCACCCAATGTGGCCCCCCAAAATGAACCTCCTTCTTGCCCTCTTCCTCATTCAATACTTGTGTGAGAAGTCCTCATTCACAAAACCATTTGGGATACCATGACCTGACTCAATGTCACCTGACTCACGTGTGTTGCAGAAGGCATTTTTCAAATCAGTACTTTCTTCCTATCAGTGTCTGAATTGTTCTTGAAATTACAGTTTTCTTTTTCTTTTTTTCATGTATGTACTTACTTATTTTTGGGTTTTGAGCCATACCCAAAGGTGCTCAGAGCTTACCCCTGGCTCTGAGCTCAGGGATCATTCCTGGTGGGCTGGGCAGACCATATGAGGTGCCAGGTCAGCTGCATGCGAGGCAAGTGCCCCACCCACTGTAGTATCCACTTCACCCCCCATGCCCCAACAAAATTTTAATTTCTTCTATTGAGGATGCTGGTTTTCCTGGGAGTATCTGATTTGTCTCTCAAGATCAACTTTAAGACATTTCACCTTGTTGCTATCAGAATAAAATTATCCCTGAATCATTTCTAATGCTTAATCACTTCTTTGTTTTTATTTGGAGTCACACTCAGAGGTGCCTAGAGCTTACTCCTGACTCAGAGACCACTCGTGGCAATGCTAGGGGACAATAGAGGGTGCCAGGTATTGACCCTTGATTGGTCATATGCAAGGCAAGCGCCCTACCTGTTGTTCTAATCCCTTAATACCTTCTAATGCTGCCCACTTAGGTTGTTTTTCCTGAATGGGAGATGGTGGACTTTCACAGGCCTGGGGAGTGTTGGGGAAAGTCACAGCTGAGTTTGACGAACTTCATCTTGGAAATGGCATCTTGGTCGACTTCTCCCTTAGCCACCCTCAGACACAGACAGTGCAGAAAGTCTATGCAGTGGGATACTCTCACTGGTACATGCCACAACATGGACGAGAGTTGAAAACATTCTGCTGAGTACAAGGGACTGGACACCAAAGTCCACATATTAGATGATTCTGCTCATATTAAATATGGAGAAGAGGCAGATCTTTAGACACAAGACAAATTAGTGGTTGCCAAGAGCTGGACTGACAGGGAAGGGTGATCAGTCCTAACGGGTATGGGATTTCCTCTGGGAAGGGGGATGAGGCACTGCAGCTGGGGTCTGGGGAAATTACACAAAGGGTCAGAGCAAATGTGGGATGTCAGGGTTTAAGTTCCAGCCTGGCATGGACCCCTAGGAGCAACCCCTGAACACTGCCAGGTGTGACTCCAAAACAAAGGAAAGTTCTGGAACTAAGTGTGGTAATGATCACACAGCACTGCAACAGTACTGAATTGCCGAGTTTCAAATGGAGAATTTTAGGAGACAGGACATTAGGATCAGCAACTAGGGCACATGCCTAAGGATACACTCACCCAACCCATATTCCATTCTGGCATGGCATTGTCTCCCAAGCATCGCCAGATACAACCTGGAGAACCTGAGCACTGCTGGGTATAATCCTGGTGGCCCTTAGGACCATCATCCTCAAGCCCTGCATTGAACCAAAGGCCCAGTGGCCAAGAATTGCTGGACCTCCACTGTTAGGGAGCTCCCACACAAAAATAAAAAGGAGAATTTTATGTTATGTGAATCTTTTTTTTTCTTACTTTTTGGATCACACCTGGCGATGCACAGGGGTTACACCTGGCTCTGCACTCAGGAATCACTCTTGGCAGTGCTCAGGGGACCATATGGGATGCTGGGAATTGAACCCGGGTTGGCCGTGTGCAAGACAAACACCCTACCCGCAGTGCTATTACTTCAGCCCCTATATTATGTGAATCTTAACCTCAATCAATAACACACAAAATTAAAAGGAAACAACCCAGGGCGGAAGAGATGGCTGGAAGGACAGAGATCTAGAACCTTTCTCTGAGCTCAGCATCTTCATCTGAAGCAGGTGGCCACGGTGCTTGCAACTCTCAGCTGGCACAAATAAGACATGAATCAGAGTTCCATAAAACGTTTAGTACAATCCAGGCAGATGATTACTACTTTCCTCTCTACAGAAACATGCCACAAACCTATTTGTTCTCTTTATTACCTTTATTTCTTATGACGTTGTGGTTTGTGGCTCAAAGCCACACAACCGGTTCGACCAGGGGCTTCTCCCACCCCTCATCACTGCAGATGGCAGCCTGCTCCACCATCCGGGATGCTTCCGTGCCCCCAGTGCTCAAACCCAGCATAGTTCTTGGGCCACTATCACGAACTCATCGGAGAACAGAATCTGAAGGGCTCCCTCATAGAATCAGACTCTGGGATATTTGCTGCCAGTAGAATCGGGGCTCTGCATTTTCAGTTGCATTTTTAATTCTCCAAATGATGAGGATACACGTAAAAGTTTGAGACGACTGTTTCCATTTAATGTATTCCTGTTTTACCACCTTTTTCAGGCTGGAGCAATAACACAGCGGGTAGGGCGTTTGCCTTGCATGTGACTGACCCGGGTTCGATTCCTCCGCCCCTCTCGGAGAGCCCGGCAAGCTACCTAGATTTTCCTGCCCGCACAGCAGAGCCGGGCAAGCTGCCCATGATGTATTCGATATGCAAAAACAGTAACAACAAGTCTCGTAATGGAGACGTTACTGGTGCCCGCTTGAGCAAATCGATGAACAACGGGAGGACAGTGCTACAGTGCTACCACCTCTTTCAGGAAATCTTAGATTTATCCCTGGAAAAACACTCCGATTCCCAGAGGGTTTCTTTTGGCTTTTTGTGTCACATCCGGCAATGCATAGGGGTTCCTCCTGGCTCTTCACTCAGGAATTAACCCTGGCGGTGCTCAGGGGATCATATGGGATGCTGGGAATCGAACCCAGGTCGGCCTCGTGCAAGGCAAACGCCCTACCCGCTGTGCTATCACTCCAGCCCCCCCCCCCCCCGAGTGTTTCTTACCTGTATTAGAGAGTTGGAGTATCTAGGTAAGAGTCACCTTGGTTTCTTTTTCAAGGTCAAGTCTGACTTTTCTCAAGGCTCCTAACTCTGTGCTCTGGGATTTACTCCTGGTTCTGTGCTCAGGGATCATTCCTGGTGGAGAATCACCTTGGTTTCTGCTGGATCTACTCTCTCCCACTGGACAAGATCTTTCAGGGACAGTGCCTGACCATCTCTTTTCCCTAGTCTCCTGGGTTCCTGTGAAGTTTAGGTGTTCCTAGGCTGATGAGAAACTTTGTAACACTTAATTGTAACACTCTCAGACTCCTGCTTCTTCTACTCTCTCTCCTTTCCAGTCTACTATTGACTTTTGACAGGCAATTGCTTACTGTATCAAGTCAGTCTTCACTCTCCCATCCAATCTTACCCCACAGGATGTGCTAGGTGTGGGCTGGCCCCCACCCACCCTGACCAGAGACCATGGAACCCGGAGCTGGGCCAGAGTCATCTCTGACTGTCAATGAACAGGTATCTTCTGGGGCAGAAAGAGGCGGGACGTGAGGACCATGGAACCAGAGTGTGGACAAGGAGGGAAACTCCCTGCTCCTCCCTATGCCCCACCCCTTTGACTGTTTCTTTGCAAAAGTTTCCAGTCACTTCACCTGCCCAGATGTATTTTCCAGCGAGGGTTTCTCGGGGGCTAAGTTTGTGGATTTCAACTATGACTGAAATGAAAATAAGATGGTAGGGGTTGGAGAGATAGCACAGCGGGTAGGGCGTTTGCCTTGCACGCGGCTGACCCGGGTTCGATTCTCAGCATCCCATATGGTCCCCTGAGCACTGTCAGAAGTAACTCCTGAGTGCAGAGCCAGGATTAACCCCTGTGTATTGCCGGGTGTGACCCAAAAAGAAAAAAGAAAAGAAAAGAAGATGGTAAGGAGATACTCAAAGTGCCGAGCACATGCTTGGCATGCATGACACCTGGGTATCATCCCCAGAAATGCATGGCCGGAACCCCCAAGCACCATTGCGTATGGCACAAAAACAAAAAGTAAAGTTAAAAAAAAAACGGGAGGGGGGGCACATCCGGTGATGCTCAGGGGTTACTTCTGGCTCTGCATTCAGGACTCACTCCTGGTGGGCGCAGGAGACTATATGGCATGCTGGGGATCAAACCTGTGCTGGCCACCTGCAAGGCATACATCTTTATTTACTGTACTCTCTAAACTTTTTAAAGAAAATGAAAATTGAAAGGACTGGATTACATGATTTTCATAGGTTCAGTTCCTGACCCAGTACGGTTCCCCAACACCTCCAAAAGTGACCCCTGATCACTGTACTGGGAGGAGCAATCCAGCACTGTCAGGTGTGGTCCCAACCCCCAAGTGCCTCGAAAACATTGAAATTAAAATCTATAACTATGCAGGACCAGAGAGATAATACAGCAGGTATTGCACATGGCTGGCCTCGGCTTATTCCCGGAACCATATAAGGTCCCCCAAGCACTACCAAGAGTGATCCCTGAGCATCACCTGGTGGGCTCAAGGTATGGGATGGGATGCCGGGGATCGAATCTAGGTGTGGCCACAAACCCCAACCCTTCCTCCCCAGAAAAAAAAGAAAGAAACACAGAAGTACTTACAAATATATATACCCCTACACGAGAAAAGATTTAGATATGATTTAATGTACTTTTTTTACTCCTTGTTTATTTGTGTTATTTCTAATCTTATTTTGTTTTGGTTTTGTGCCATTCCTGGCTATGATCTGAGCTTATTCCCTGCTCTGCACTCAGGAATCACTCCTGGAAGGGCTCTGGGGACCATTTGGGATGCTGGGAATTGAATCAGGGTCGGCCACATGCAAGGCAAATGCCTTACCCTCTGTACTATTGCTCCGGCCTGCCTGGGGCAGAGCTGTGAGTCCCTTACTCTTGGAAGGCCCTAGTGGAAGCCTTTGATTCAGGAGGTACAAAGCCAAGGGTGGTAGGCGGGATAGGGTAGAGACCCCTTGCCCCCTTGCTCCAGGAGGGAGGCCAGGCCCACCCACAGTGCTGGGCATGAAAGCTCCCCTCTGGATAGGAGGCTGCCCAAACAGATGGTACAGGATTATAGGGAGCACAGTACCGATCAGGCAGGTAAGAAGCCCCATCTTCAGCCTTCAGGACTTTGACTTGCAGTGATGGCAGAATCTTTACGGGAGTTTGGAAATGAAGAAATCTGAGGGCTTGGGGATCTAGCTCAGTGGTAGAGCACCTGTTTTGCATGCCTGAGGTCCTAGGTTCCTTCTTTACCATGCAAACAAAAGAGAGTGAGAGACAAGGAACTGTGAGCTTAAAAAGTGACTTAGCATGGAGATGCATGCATTTCCAACCTTTATTTTCAAGGAACATTTCAGCAGTTTCAAGGGAAGTGAAACATTTGCTTCACGACTCAATTCAAGCTATGGCCTCTGTTATTACGTGTCTTAACTGCACTCCAAACTCTAAGCGGCCAACAGAGGGAACCCCAATGTTGAGTCCATCATGAACTGCATCCACAGGGGAAGCAGCTAGGAATGCCCTTTGGTGGTTTGGCCTGTGACTCCTCTTTCCCACTGGCAATAGACCCCTGCGCATTGGGATGTTTCTTCTTCCTCTCAACCCCTTTCCTGGTGTTTGGGGGTGTGCAGCTGCCCAGTGCTGGAGCTCTCATGAGCAAGTGCAGCCCAGGGCCAGGTCTGCGTACTGGAGAGCTCACCCAGGTCGGGCCAGGGCTCTGTCACCTCTGCCTGCAGCATGTCCCTGTGCTCCTTGCAGGTCATCGTCATGTCAGGCCACGAGACCATCCGAGTGCTGGAAGTCGGCGTGGATGCACAGATGCCCACTGATGAGGAGACCCGAGGCCTGGAGGGCACAGCGGCCCCGCCTGCCCAGAGTGGGGGCCCCTCTGGAGCTGGGACAGCTGCCGGGGAAGCTGGGCCTGACAGCACAGACTCCTCCGCAGAGGCAACTGGTACGAGGCCAGTGCCCCGCCTGGCACTGCTTCACCTGACGCTCTTCCTGGGGTGCCCCTGGGCCCAGCACAAGTCCCAGAGGTCTCCGACTTCAGGGTCTTCTTGTCACTATCACGTCCTTGCTCAGCTCTTAGGACCAGCTCCAGTCTCAGTGGCTGATGCTTCAGCTGGTCTGGTGGGGAGAGGGGCAGGGGCAGTGCCTGGCCTCAGGCAGGATGCCCTGAGCTAACTCCAGCTTCAGGCCGCCAGCAGACAGCTCTCAACTTTCTAGACTGGGTTGCTGCCTTTGTTGGTTGGGAGGTCCAGACAGGGCCGTGTTAGAGTACCACCCAGCTTGTTGCTCGGGGCTCACTCCCACAGTGCTCATAGTTGTGGTGTGGAGGATTGAACTGGGGCCTTCGCACGCAGAACACGCACAGCCTGCTGAGCTCTCTCTGGTTCCAAACCAGGGATTTTCAACTTCTTCCATTCCTGACCCTTTCACACCCAAGAAATTATTATGCAGCCCCCCAGGCAAATGGGTATATGAGGTATCACTGTCATCCTGTTGTTCATCGATTTCCTCGAGCAGGTCCCAGTAACGTCTCCTTCTTCCTAGACCTGAGATTTTAGAAAGTGCCATATTCGAGGCTCTTTCAGGGTCAGGAGAATGAGACCCACCATTGTTACTGGTTTTTGACATATTGAATACGCCACGGGGAGTTTGCCAGACTCTGCCGTGTGGGCAGTATACTTTCGGTGACCTGCCAGGTTCTCCAGAATAAGAGCTAGATAATAAGATGTTGCGCGGCCACATTTGCGGACGTGCCCTTCCGGGAGCTGGGTTTTATAGTCTCTGGGTCTTGGCGATTGATGGGATTACACAGCACCGGGGGCAGTTGGTGGGTGTAAAGTCTAGCTACTGGAAGATGGGGGAACTGGGTAGAGGAGGCCCAGTCCCAATCCAAGCAGGCTTGGAGATCTATGCCCCGAGTCCCGCACTCTGCCGGTTCCTCTGCCGGTTTCTTCATGCGTGAGGCTCGTCCAAACATGTGGAGAGTGGTCTTAAGCATGGTTGTGGCTGGAACTGGAGGTCTTCAGCTGCCGAGGCTCTGCTCGGGGTGGGGAGGGAAATATAACAAAAACCAGAGAGATAGTACAAGGGTTAAGAAATTTGCCTTATATGCAGATAATCCTGGTTCAATCCTTGGCACTACATACAGTTCCCTGAGTACCACCAGGAGTGATCTTTCTGAGCACACAGTCAGGAGTGAGCCCTGAGCACTGTCAAGTGTGGCCCAAATCACTCCCCACAATTGGTATATAAATCAACTTTTTACTGACAACTAGTCAGTTTAAAGACAGAAACAAAATCCAGGCAACACTGTGTATGTCCCCCAAGACCTGCCAGGTGTGATCCCTGAGTACAGCCAGCCTTACTTTGTGTCCCGCTGCCCCATATACACACAAAAATAAATAAGCAAAGAATGGTTAGAAGGATAGCCCAATGGGCTGAGCTCAGATCAGTGGATTTAGTGCACACTATGCATGCATGAAACTTGGGTTCGTTCCCTGACAATGGATGTTCTTTCTACCCCACACAGAGTAGAAATTAGTCCCTGGTACCACTGGGTGTGGCCCTCAAACCAAAATAAAGGTAAAAAGTAAAGGTAAAGGCCCTCCCGTTGATCATCTATTTGCTCGAGCGGGCCCAGTAACGTCTCCATTGGAGACTTTGTTGTTACTGTGTTTGGCATATCGAATACTTTTGGTAGCTTGCCGGGCTCTCCGAGAGGGGCGGAGGAATCGAACTCGGGTCGGCCATGTTGGCCGCTTATAAGGCGAACGCCCTACCGCTGTGCTATCGCTCTAACCCAAAGCATAAATAAGTATATGTAGCCACCCACATATTAAGAAGCTAGCACTAGGGGGCTGGAGCAATAGCACCAGCTATTGCTGGTGGTAGGGCGTTTGCCTTGCACACGGCCAACCTGGGTTCGATTCCCAGCATCCCATATGGTCCCCTGAGCACGGCCAGGAGTAATTCCTGAGTACAGAGCCAGGAGTAACCCCTGTGTATCACCAGGTGTGACCCAAAAAGAAAAATAAAGGAAGCTAGCACTAGATTATCAAAAAGATGATGTTGGTGTTCAAAAGACTTAAATGCACGCTTTGCAAGCAAGAAACCTGGATTTAATCCTTGGCACCACATGGTCCCTGAACAATGTGGAGTGTAGCCCAAAATCCAAAATAAAAAAGAAATACAGGGCTGGGGAGATACTACAGTGGGTAACGATCTTGCCTCACACATGCCCAACCCAGGTTTAATCCCCAGCATCCCATACGGCCCCCCAAGTCTCACTACGAGTGATCCCTGAGCACAGAGCCAGGAGTAAACCCCAAGCACTGCCAGGTTGGCCCCAAAACAAGAAACAAACTAAGAAAAGAAGAGACTTCAGGGAGCAGCCAGTCACAGCTCCTTTCTGCAACAGCAAGACTCTTCCTGGACTTTCCTTGCAAATCGGCCTACAGATTCATTTAGAAATGAAGGACCAGGATTATGTTCCCCCCTTCTGAATACAGGAATGATAAGAGACACAAAAGTGTTCCCCTTCCTACTCCTTCTGCTTGGAGACCAGGGCGGGCCGCCATCTATGCTGTGGACCAGCATACCAAGGACTAGGAGAGCAGGCAAAGGACCAAGGAGCTATATTCAACGCCCTTTCCTCCTCTCCATTGTGGGCAAGGGCTTCCTTTTCGGAAAATTTAGGATGTTTGCCAGGTTCTTGCACTGTGCCCCCAATTTCCCTTTTCACCTTTTGATCTGTCCTCCAAATCTTACTTCTTCCATATCTATTAAAGTGCCTTAACTTTGCTCCTTATCCAAGCCTCTCAGGAACTGATCTTGAATTGACACACCAGTGTGAGAGCTTAGTGGTTATCCCCTCCAGGCTGGTGTGCTTAAGCCTCTCAGGAGTCTTCTGTGTAAAGGAATTTTAAACGTTCATCAAGCAGGTCAGGTAACCATTTTTGACAGTGCTTCTGTTGAAACTGCTGGTTTCATCGTGGCCTCAACAGGTCCTTTCTAGATATGCAAGAGTAAGAGTTTTCTCTTCAAACAAAACTAATAAGTAATTCTTTCATCAGGAAACAAAAATAATCTACTGATTTGCCTCACTCTAAATCCAGAGGGTGGGGGGAAAAAAACTCAAAACTCTGACTGTCCACTGACTATCCAGGGCAGGAAGATGGCCCAGTAGACTGGAATGCAAGGTTTGCACGTAGGACCACAGGCTCGATCCCCTGCACAACAGGGTCCTCCAAACACAGAGCCTGGAGTAGCCCCTAGCACTACCGGATGGGCCCAAACACCAAAAAATAAAATAATAACAAAACAATTACCTTTAAGACTTCCCTCCCTATCCCCTTTCTGTCTATCTGGCTCTCTTTCTCTTCTTTTTTTTTTTTTCTCTTTTTGACTTATTAGGTCACACCTGGCTATGCTCAGGGGTCACTCCCAGCTCGGCACTCAGGAATTACTCCTAGCAGGGTTCAGGGGACCATATGGGATGCTGGGGATCAAACCTGTGTCAGCTGCGTGCAAGGCAAACGCCCTGCTTATGGCTTTGGCTCCTCCCTCCTTTTTTCTAAGGCCACACATGTGTGTTTAGGTCTTACTTCTGGCTCTACTCAGGGATCACTCCGTATGTGGTGCCAGGGATCAAAACCAGATGGGCCATGTGCAAAACAAGCGCTTCACCTGCTGTACTTTCTCTCTGGCCCCTATCCAAGCCTTTTCACATGCTTCCGTAGCTCTGGCCATATGAAGGATGACACTTGTCACTTTTGTTTTGGGGGAGGGGATGCTGAGCACATGCTCAACCACTGAGTTACACCCTAAGCCCTACCATGATTTTTCATATGCTCGTTTCCTTGAATAGATTCACACATCTGATTCTGGTTTGGACTGTTACCAAACTGTCTGATTTTTCATTGTCATAATGGTGCTGCTTTGAATATCTTTGTGCAAATGTTGTAAAAAAAATTTTTTTGAGGTATAGTCTATTCAAATTCCTTTGGAAGAGAAATTAGTTGTTTACATAGGAAGACGCCACCTCATGGAAAAATACAGATTTACTGTCTTGAGAGGACAATAGTTGGCTGTAAGGCACCATATCCCTCTTAAGCCAAAAAAAAAAATCTGTGGATAAAGTCAAAATTGTTTTGGTACTATAGAGAAACAAGTAAAGGTAAAGGTAAGGTAAAGGTAAAGGCCCTCCCGTTGTTCGTCGATTTGCTCGAGCGGGCCCAGTAACGTCTCCATTGGAGACTTTGTTGTTACTGTGTCTGGCATATCGAATACTCTCGGTAGCTTGCCGGGCTCTCCGAGAGGGGCGGAGGAATCGAACTCGGGTCGGCCATGTTGGCCGCTTGTAAGGCGAACGCCCTACCACTGTGCTATCGCTCCAGCCCAAAGCATAAATAAGCATATGTAGCCACCCACATATTAAGAAGCTAGCACTAGGGGGCTGGAGCAATAGCACCAGCTATTGCTGTTGGTAGGGCGTTTGCCTTGCACACGGCCAACCTGGGTTCGATTCCCAGCATCCCATATGGTCCTTGAGCACCGCCAGGAGTAATTCCTGAGTACAGAGCCAGGAGTAACCCCTGTGTATCACCAGGTGTGACCCAAAAAGAAAAATAAAGGAAGCTAGCACTAGATTATCAAAAAGATGATGTTGGTGTTCAAAAGATTTAAATGCACGCTTCGCAGCAAGAAACCTGGATTTAATCCTTGGCACCACATGGTCCCTGAACAATGTGGAGTGTAGCCCAAAATCCAAAATAAAAAAGAAATACAGGGCTGGGGAGATACTACAGTGGGTAACGATCTTGCCTCGCACATGCCCAACCCAGGTTTAATCCCCAGCATCCCATACGGTCCCCCAAGTCTCACTACGAGTGATCCCTGAGCACAGAGCCAGGAGTAAACCCCAAGCACTGCCAGGTTGGCCCCAAAACAAGAAACAAACTAAGAAAAGAAGAGACTTCAGGGAGCAGCCAGTCACAGCTCCTTTCTGCAACAGCAAGACTCTTCCTGGACTTTCCTTGCAAATCGGCCTACAGATTCATTTAGAAATGAAGGACCAGGATTATGTTCCCCCCTTCTGAATACAGGAATGATAAGAGACACAAAAGTGTTCCCCTTCCTACTCCTTCTGCTTGGAGACCAGGGCGGGCCGCCATCTATGCTGTGGACCAGCATACCAAGGACTAGGAGAGCAGGCAAAGGACCAAGGAGCTATATTCAACGCCCTTTCCTCCTCTCCATTGTGGGCAAGGGCTTCCTTTTCGGAAAATTTAGGATGTTTGCCAGGTTCTTGCACTGTGCCCCCAATTTCCCTTTTCACCTTTTGATCTGTCCTCCAAATCTTACTTCTTCCATATCTATTAAAGTGCCTTAACTTTGCTCCTTATCCAAGCCTCTCAGGAACTGATCTTGAATTGACACACCAGTGTGAGAGCTTAGTGGTTATCCCCTCCAGGCTGGTGTGCTTAAGCCTCTCAGGAGTCTTCTGTGTAAAGGAATTTTAAACGTTCATCAAGCAGGTCAGGTAACCATTTTTGACAGTGCTTCTGTTGAAACTGCCGGTTTCATCGTGGCCTCAACAGGTCCTTTCTAGATATGCAAGAGTAAGAGTTTCCTCTTCAAACAAAACTAATAAGTAATTCTTTCATCAGGAAACAAAAATAATCTACTGATTTGCCTCACTCTAAATCCAGAGGGTGGGGGGAAAAAAACTCAAAACTCTGACTGTCCACTGACTATCCAGGGCAGGAAGATGGCCCAGTAGACTGGAATGCAAGGTTTGCACGTAGTACCACAGGCTCGATCCCCTGCACAACAAGGTCCTCCAAACACAGAGCTTGGAGTAGCCCCTAGCACTACCGGATGGGCCCAAACACCAAAAAATAAAATAATAACAAAACAATTACCTTTAAGACTTCCCTCCCTATCCCCTTTCTGTCTATCTGGCTCTCTTTCTCTTCTTTTTTTTTTTTTCTCTTTTTGACTTATTAGGTCACACCTGGCTATGCTCAGGGGTCACTCCCAGCTCGGCACTCAGGAATTACTCCTAGCAGGGTTCAGGGGACCATATGGGATGCTGGGGATCAAACCTGTGTCAGCTGCGTGCAAGGCAAACGCCCTGCTTATGGCTTTGGCTCCTCCCTCCTTTTTTCTAAGGCCACACATGTGTGTTTAGGTCTTACTTCTGGCTCTACTCAGGGATCACTCCGTATGTGGTGCCAGGGATCAAAACCAGATGGGCCATGTGCAAAACAAGCGCTTCACCTGCTGTACTTTCTCTCTGGCCCCTATCCAAGCCTTTTCACATGCTTCCGTAGCTCTGGCCATATGAAGGATGACACTTGTCACTTTTGTTTTGGGGGAGGGGATGCTGAGCACATGCTCAACCACTGAGTTACACCCTAAGCCCTACCATGATTTTTCATATGCTCGTTTCCTTGAATAGATTCACACATCTGATTCTGGTTTGGACTGTTACCAAACTGTCTGATTTTTCATTGTCATAATGGTGCTGCTTTGAATATCTTTGTGCAAATGTTGTAAAAAAAATTTTTTTGAGGTATAGTCTATTCAAATTCCTTTGGAAGAGAAATTAGTTGTTTACATAGGAAGACGCCACCTCATCGAAAAATACAGATTTACTGTCTTGAGAGGACAATAGTTGGCTGTAAGGCACCATATCCCTCTTAAGCCAAAAAAAAAAAAAATCTGTGGATAAAGTCAAAATTGTTTTGGTACTATAGAGAAACAAGTAAATTGATAATAATTCCACAAATTTAAGTATCCCCCCACACCTCCATTTGGTTTTGTTCAGGGGAACATATGGTACTGGGGATTGAACCCAAGTCCCCTACATGCAAAGCATGCCCTGAGTCCTTCTAGCCCTAAATTAATCAATTTTAAGCAGTCTTAAGCAGTTTAGCAGAAAGCAACCAATGCCCTTAATGTTTGGGCTGAGTGATAGCACAGCGGGTAGGGCATTTGCCTTGCACGCAGCCAACCCAGTTTCGATTCTTCTGTCCCTTTTGGAGAGTTCAGCAAGCTACCTAGAGTATCCTGCTCCCACAGCAGAGCCTGGCAAGCTCCCCGTGACGTATTCGATATGCAATAACAAACAAGCCTCACAATGGAGACATTACTGGTGCCCGCTTGAGCAAATTTATGGACAACGGGAGGACAGTGCTACGGTGCTACAGTGCCCTTAATGTTTGAAATATCCTAATGATTATTTCTTTTGATGGCAAGATTTTTGTTTTGTCTTTTTCTTTGTTTTGTTTTGGGAGCACATGGCAGTGTGAAGGGCTTACTCCTTGCTCTGTGTTCAAGGGTCACTCCAGTAGAGCCTGGGTTGGCTGCACCCGAGGCAAGCGTCCTCCTCCTCGCTGGCCTAGCTCTCTGGCCCCATATGGCAGTTTCATCATTCTGGTCGATCACATTTCTGCTTTTATTTCTCCTTTATAAACTCCATTGCACTTTTTCCCAAGAGGAACATCTTAAATTTTGTCCATTTGTCTTCCCTGATTTCTCCCCAAGGCTTAAATTTCCCTCCACAGTAGAGATAAAACTGCCATTTCCTTTTCTTTAAGTATCTTGTGAAGTCTGGATTGTTGTTTGCTCATCTTTGAGTTCCTTTAAATACTCTGAATTCTGTTATGCATTGTTGTGGGCAATATAGTGCTGTGTTAGGATGGTAGCTTTCTAGGTTGAAAGCCTGTGCGGGGGCAGGGAAAATGACTCAAATGTCAAAGTGTGTTCCTTGCAGGCAGGAACCCTGGTTCCACCCTGCACCTAGATAAGGACCTGAAAATTGATGTCTAGTCAATATTAAGAAGTCAGTAATCAGGTCTACTACCTTTCAGCCAGTACCAAGACTCCTATTAATGTCTCACCACATATTAAATAGTATTTATTCTGGGCCCCAGAGATAATTCAGAGGGGTGAGCATGTACTTTAAATGTGTGAGACCAGGTTCGATACCTGGTACCACATGGACCCCTAAACACTGCGAGGACTGACCCCAGCACAGAGCTGGGAGTAACCGTCAAGCACCATTGTGTGTGCCCTAAACCTCACTCCTAAGCCCCCCAAATAGTAATTGTCCTGTTTGTTTTGTTTTTGCTTTTGGGGTCACACCCAGCGATGCTCAGGGGTTACTCCTGGCTCCGTGCTCAGGAATTACTCCTGGCGGTGCTTGGGGGACCATACGAGATGCTGGGGATCGAACCTGGGTTGGCTACGTGCAAGGCAAACGCCCTCCCCGCTGTGCTATCACTCCGGCCCCCGTAATTGTCCTCTTTGATGTGTGATTTTTGAAAAAGTTTCCTGGTAGGGGTCCCAAACACCCGAATAGGAAGAAAAAGCTACTCCTGGGCAAAGCTCTCTGGCTCCCCGGAAGTTCCTTCTAGTGGAAGGTGCCTTCAAGATTTTCACCATCAGGGACCATTAGAGATAAGTAGCCTGTGGCAGTGAACTGAGCACAAGGTGCAAAGTGCATGACACAACAGGCAAAGTGTGTGCTTTACGTGGGGGAGAACCAGGTTCAGTTCCCGGCACCACATGGTCCACCAAGCGCCCCCAAAAGCAAAACGTCAAGCAGAGTCAGGAGTTGCCCACAAGTATGGTCAGGTGTGAGCCCCAAATAAATAAAAACAAGCCTGGTCTGGGATCCTGAATGAGGAAGAACACACCCAGTTTCCAGGGGCTGGCTCTTCTGGGACTTCCCCTGCCGAAACCCTCTTCCCTTCCCCCAGACCAACATCCACACCCAGAAACTACCTTGAAGAAGGGATGAACATCAGCCCAGAAAAGCAGTTCTCATTGGATCCAGCATTTCTGTTCCTACCGCATGCTCTTTGGGGTTATGAGAGGTTAGAATGTCCTTTAGAGCTATAAGACAGATGCCCTTGGGGCCAGAATGACCGAACACCAGATGGGCTTTGCTTTCCTGTGACCGACCCAGCAGGTTCCATTCCTGGTACCACCTTTTTTTTGTTTTTTTTTAAATTTTTATTAGTGAAACACCATGAGGTACAGTTGTAGACTTACAAATTTTTGTGCTTGGGTTTCAGTAACACAATGATTGAGTACCCATCCCTCCACCAGTGCCCATTTTCCACCACCACGGATCCCAGTATCCCTCCCGCCTCCCATCCTCCCCATCCCACCCTGCCTCTGTGGCAGGGCATTCCCTTTTGTTCTCTCTCCTTTTGGGTGTTCTGGTTTACAAAAGAGGCATTGAGTGGCAATCCTGTTGGTCTATCGTCTACATTCAGCATGCTTCTCCCATCCTGAGAGGATCCTCCCAACCCTGGTACCACCTTTGGTCCCCTGAGCCTGCCAGGAGTGATCCCTGAGCACAGAGCCAGGAGTAAGCCCTGAACACTGATGGGTGTGGTCCCAAAACCAAAAAAGAAGAGGACGACAGATACCCAGCGATGCTTAGGCCTGTGTAGGCTTCGTCTGGATGTGGGAGGAGGGTGGTCTGCCCTCCTGGTCTGGCTCAGGGCTCTGCAGCCACCATCTCACTCACTGGCATCTGAGAAGCCAGCGATGGGCTCAGGGTGATTATGCAGATAAACACTATGTGGGCCCAAGAGCTGTCTCCTCAGGCTGTGGGTGCCCTCTCCCCCCTCCCCACTCCACCCACCATTACCCTGGGCTCACTCCATGTCCCCTTTTTCTTCCTGTCACATGAAGTGAAGTCTCTCCCAGGGATCCCTCCCGGCCCGGCCCCTGCGGTTGCCACCTTCAGCCAAGCCCCAAGCCAGCCTCAAGCGCCGCAGACCCTGACGCCATTGGCTGTCCAAGCTGCCCCCCAGGTAAGGGCTGCCCAGGGAAGCCGGTGGGGGGTGCTTGCAAGTGGGTGGGTGGGGGGGGGGGACTGCCCATGGGATTCGAGGGCTTCAGGAGCAGTCGGCAGGGAAGGGGCTCCAGTTGGCAGTTGGAGTGAGGGACTCTCCAAGCAGGCACCCCTGCCCTCCCCCCCCCCCCCCCCCCCCCCCCCGCCTAGATCAGATCTGCTCCAAAAAGCAAGTATGCACTGATCAGATCATCTAGGAAGGATCTAGAAGGTGACCTCCCCAGTCCTCTCAGGGCTGTTTATCCAAGGCTAAGAGTGTTGCCCTTATCTGCCCTTCACCTGCCTGGGTCTGCTCTGCCTTCTAGAAGGCTGACAAGACACCCCCGGGCAGGGAGAGTCCCTGTGACCTTGCAGGACCCACAGAGCCCTGGGGCTTCCCTGAGTCCTTGTTTCCTGGGCCCCACTCTCAGGGCCAGTGGGCAGGGCCAGGCCCCAGTCCCTATCTGGGCAGGATAGTCAGGCCCAGCCCACTGCCCCCCACCCCGCAGGGCTGGGCTGATCTCTCCCCACCCTCCAGCGACCTTGCCCCATTTGCCGCCCTCAGAATGCTTTGTTTATGCTCAAAACTGGGCCCGAGAGACCCAGAGTTTGTCACTGTTGATTTTTTTTATTTTTTCTTTTCTTTTTGAAATCTTGTTTGCTTTTGCAGGTCTTGACTCAGGAAAACTTAGCCACAGTTCTGACAGGAGTTATGGTTCCAGCAGGGGCAGTTACTCAACCTCTTCTTATCCCCATCAGTATTGCAGGTCAAGTGGCTGGCCAGCAGGGGCTGGCCGTGTGGACAATTCCTACAGCAACCGTGGCCGCCCTCCCGGGACTGACCGCAGCTTCTCCCCCGGGGGGAATTTTCAAGCCACCCTTAGCCGGTCTCCAAGGTAACAGCAACTCTCCCCAGGACGGCACCAGCCCCCACCACCCTCCACCACGTCCCTGCACACGGGCTAGCCACGTTGGACTCAGAACCAGCTGCCCCAGCCCCCCGGAGTCGGGACCCAGGGTCCCCCGCACTCAGACAGACACAGAGCCGCTGCGTCACCTCGGACTCTAGGCCACGACCCCCTGCTGGCCCCGCAGGCCTCTGTGACTTCTGAGACTGTCTGGGACTCCCCTCATCCCCCCTGCCCCCAAGCCAGCATCCAGCCCCTGCCCAGCCTCCTGAGAAGGACTGCAAGAAGAGCGACTCCCGGCACTGCACCCACTGCACCGACGCCGCGCTCCAGGCCCAAGGGAGGGGGGATGAGAGATTTGGCGCCACGTGCCTGCGAGGATGAAGGGAACCACGGCTGCCCGGCCCCTGCCCCCGGCTCCCCCTCAGTCTCCGCCAGATCCCTTGGGATTGGAGCCTCTGGGGCCGCGGCTCGGCCTTGAGCATCTCTGTCTCTGCCTTGCTCTGCAGCAGCTGCTGTGCTGAACGCCGCCCTGCCGGCCTCCGGGCCTGCCACCCCAGCACTGCAGGCCTCCTCGCCCGCCCCGGCCCGGGCAGCAGCCCAGCCCCAGACGCTGTTCCAGACCCAGCCGCTGCTGCAGACGGCGCCTGCCATTCTCCCACAGCCCACCGCTGCCGCCGCCGCGACCGCCCCCACCCCCAAGCCAGTGGACGCCCCCCCACAGATCACCGTCCAGCCTGCAGGCTTCGCGTTTAGCCCGGGAATTGTAAGCTGCTGGGCTCACCCAGGGCTCACCAGGGAAGGACTGGACCTCAGGCCGAGGGTGGAACTGACCCTTCTTCCCGGGAGGAAGGAAGTAGAGGGACCCGCTCCCGGAGGCGGCTCTTGGCCCACCGGTCAGTGGAGACCGGCTCCCTCTGAGGTCTTCTTGCCGCTTGCCAGCCCGGACAAGAACAGGCAACCTCCCCCCCAGGGCTGGGGCCAGTTCAACACGTCAAAAGCGCTGGACCAGCCGTGGAGGGTGGGATGACACCTAGGATGGCACGCTTGGGAGCTGTCACTAACGTGCAGCTTAAGACGCCCTGTCCAGCCGGTGCCTGCCCAGGGCAGCCCCTGGCCTGGCCGTGGGGTGGTGGGCTGGGACTAGAATCACTTTAGCCTCTTGTTTGGCCCCAGGCTTGGTTTGAAAGATGCACCAGAGTCATTTTCCCATCACTGTGGTCCCACCCTCCCTGCTGACCCCTGAGGGTCCTCGCCCAGAACCAAGCTCAGCAGGTGGGCCCGTGGCCAGGCACAGCCACCCTCATGCCCACCCGAGTCCTTGTATTCCTCCCCCTGGCCCTCAACCTCTTCCTCTGCTTGGGCTCTCACCTGCCTCTGGGCCCTGAGCATGGCTCTTCCTCTGCCCGCAGATCAGTGCTGCTTCCCTCGGGGGCCAGACCCAGATCCTGGGCTCCCTCACCACCACTCCGGTCATTGCCAATGCCATCCCCAGCATGCCCGGGATCAGCAGCCAGATCCTCACCAACGCTCAGGGACAGGCAAGTGGTTCCCGGGGTTGGGCTAAGGGCGGCGGGTGGAGAGAAGCATGCAGGAGGTCCGAGACACTCACTCGGTGCGTCCTGCTGATGCCCAGGGTGCAGTGGCCTCCCTGGCCTCGAGGTGCTCTTGCTGCCGAGGGAGTTTCATTGGCAGGACAGCAGGCTCTGCTGGGTTCACATTTTCACAGGTGAACCCAGCACCCCGGAGGCACACAGCTCTTTCCCAGAGGCTGCTGATGGTGGTGGGGATGATATCGGGTGCCAGAGATTGAACTGGGTCAGCTGTGTGCAAGGCAAGCTCACTTACCGTACTATCTCTCTGGCTCCCCCCGGAAGACTTGACTTGCCACTCTGCAGTGGACAAGGCTAAGGGTCAGAAAGATGACAGCACATATCTGAAAGGTGCCAGAACTCAGGTGTGGGCCCCGGGGAGCAACAGAGCTGGACCTGGTCCACGGCAATGACTAAAGGAAGCAGCCCTGGGGGGCCTGTCCTTCCCTTCCTCCCCGAGGAAACTCTGTCAGGTCCAAGCAGGGGTGTGGGCAGCGGTGGAGGGGGCCACCGCCCTCACACCGGATCCCTGCCCTGTCTCCTCCCAGGTCATTGGAACCCTGCCCTGGGTCGTGAACTCAGCCAGTGTGGCGGCCCCCGCACCAGCCCCGAGCCTGCAGGTCCAGGCTGTGACCCCTCAGCTGTTGCTGAATGCCCAGGGCCAGGTGATTGCCACCCTGGCCAGCAGTCCCCTGCCTCCACCTGTGGCTGTCCGGAAACCAAGCACACCTGAGTCCCCTGCCAAGAGTGAGGTACAAGGGCTGGGTGCGGGCCGGTGTCCCTCCATGGTGTTTGATTTCCTGGGAGAATAGGCGGCTCCCCCTAAGATCCTGCTAGACTACCAGACTACTAGCAGGCCCCTGTGGGTCTCTGCTCTGTGCCAGAGAAACAGCCCCTACCTGTGTTTGGGGGGTTGGGTAGACTGGCTACCCAACCCCCCAAACACATGTGACACGTCCCTCAGAGCCAATGCCCTTCCCAGGGGACTGGGAGGAGAGGTCCTGGGAACACAGCCAATGAGCTCTGCTGGACTCACTTCCAGGAGAGCCAAGAAGTCTGGGTCGGCCCCCGTCCTCCATCCAGGCCTCCACGCCCACCGAGTCTTTGACTATCCGTTATTTGTTGGTTCTAGGGACCGTTTTTGTGTCTACTGTATAGACATAGAGACATAGAGCTGAATAAGACATCCTGTCTGGGAGAAGCAACCACCGCAAGACGCACTCAGGGAGGGACCCAGAGAAGGAGGTGTTGACAGACGGGGGTGTTCGGCAGGGGATAGTGAACTTGGCTAAAGTGTTGGCTGGAGTGGACAGTATTAGGCCTTTAAGGAATCTCAGGGCAGCAGGAAGACAGCCCACAGGGCTAGTGGGCATGCTTGCAAGCACTGAGTCCCCTGTATCCCCCGAGCCCCCTGGGCCTGAGCAGCACTACACTGAGCAGTCCAGCCTGGGTGGCAGAGTATTGCTGGGAGTGACTCCTGGGCCCCCTGAGCACCCGTTGCTGGATCCCCTGCACCCCCCAAAAAATGATAAGAAACACAGAAACCCGATCAAGGGGTAGAGTGCATGATTTCCATGCATGCGGTCAGTCTGAGCCCAGTACATTAGACTCCCTTGAGCACTGGATGTAACCCTTAAAAGCCCCAAGCCAGCATTCCTAGGGAGGCTTCTAAAAAGAAAAAAAGGAAAGAAGACAGAAGTGTCCGAGCAGATAGAGATTCTGAAATTTGAGTGTCCCTTGGAACCAACTGGAGCACTTTTTTTGTCTGGGTATTTTTTTTGGAGGGGGGGAGCGGGATTCGGGAGGCATACCTGTGGTGCTCAGGGATCACTCCTGACTCTGCTCAGGGGTCCAAAGGGTGCCAGTTATTGAAAACCCTGTAAGGCATCTGACCTGCTTTATTCTCTGTCCCCTGGTCAGCTTTATGAAACCAGTTCTCAGTCCTGGTGATTTCATAGATCTGCATTGGGCTAAAAAATGCACATTTTGGGGGGCTGGAGAGATAGCACAGTGGGTAGGGCGTTTGCCTTGCACTCGGCTGACGCAGGTTCGATTCCAAGCATCCCATAGGGTCCCCTGAGCACCGCCAGGAGTAACTCCTGAGTTCCAGCCCCTGTTCATCGCCGGGTGTGACCCAAAAAGCAAAACAGCAACAAAAAGCATCTTTTCAGAAAAAGTTTCCAGGTGATGCTGAGACCCACAGTTCTCAAATGTGGTGTGTTACTTCTCAGCTTTGTGAGTAATCACTGAGCCTTTTCCGGGGTGGTGGGGGGAGGGAATTAGGAGGCCAGAAAGATAGTACAAGGGTTAAGGTGTTTGACTGTCTTACATGCAGCAACACAGATTTGACCCTTGGCACTGTATACGCCAGGCCCCCGTAACACCACTGGAAGCAACCCTGAGCACAGAGCCAGGAGTAATGCCAGAGCACTGCTGGATGTGGTCCCACTCCTTCCACCCCTTCCCGCCCAAAGTGGCAGTTAGAAGGTTATTAATGTTTTTTTTTCCTTTTCGGTCACACCTGGCAATGCTCAGGGGTGACTCCTGGCTCTGCACTCGGGAGTTACTCCTGGCGGTGCTCAGGGGACCATATGGGATGTTGGGAATCGAACCCGGTCAGCTGTGCTATTGTTCCAGCCCCTAGAAGCTTATGAATGTTTAAGGAGTTGTTGCTCAGAAGACAGTCAGGCTCTAGTGTAGCAAAAACAGTTTTCACTGTTGTCACTGTGGGAAATACAGAAGGGATGTTGTGGAACAACCAACACAAGAATCTCTTCTAATTTCACCTCTAGAGAGGACTTTGACTGCTTGCTTTATATTCAAGCAAATTTTCTTTTCCTGGATACTCACAGGATTTGTTCGTTTGGCTTTCAGGGCTATACTCAGGAGAACGCAGGGACCACACCTGGCTCTGTACTATGGGGTTGCTCCCACAGGTGCTTGGGGGACCATGTGATGTTGGGGATCAAACCCGGGCCAGAATGATAGTATAGCAAGTACGGCACTCACCTTACATGTGGCCAACCTGGGTTATTTTCTGGTTCCCCATAAGGTCTCCCTAGCACCGCTAGAAGTAATTCCTGAGTGTAGAGCCAGGACTAACCCCTGAGTGGGTTTTGGGGTGTGGCCCCAAAACAAACGAACAAAAATATTTGGGAGAGGGGCCGGAGAAATAGTACAGCAGTTCAGGCACTTGCCTTGTACACAGAAGATGCTGGCTCAATCCCTGGCACCCTGTATGGTCCCCTGAGTCTTGCCAGGAGTGATCCCCGAGCAAAGTTGGGTGTGGCCTCAGAACAAGAGAAAAATGAAAATAATAAGATAACAACCAAAAAATATATTTAGGGGAAGAGTCACCCCTTTGGACCTGGTGATGCTTGGGAATTACGTGGTGGTAGGGATGAAACCTGGGGCTCCAACCCTTTGAGACATTGCCATGGCCTTGCTGAGCAGTCTAACTTGGAGCTCTTTGCATCTTAGTTATACGAAAATAATCCTAGTTCTGGAGCTGGAGTGATAGCACAATGGGTAGGGCATTTGCCTTGCATGCAGCCAACATGGCCGACCCTGGTTCGATTCCCAGCATCCCATATAGTCCCCTGATCACCGCCAGGAGTAATTCCTGAGTGCATGAGCCAGGAGTAACCCCTGAGCATCGCCGGGTATGATGCAAGAAAAAAAAATAATTCTAGTTCTACTGAGTGACCATACCATATTATTGCAGGGAGGGTTCCAGAATCATTTGACAGTTCCCTATTAAAGAACATTTTGGGCCCAGGGAGCTCTAGAATCTCTAGAGGGCAGAGATTTGAGAGAAATTATCTCAAGTATCTCTGTTGGCACTTTGAAAGTACAAACTTTCCTGAGCCTCTGGCCTGCCAGTGTCCCAGGAGGCCATGGTGGGATAGATTGTCGTATTTCTATGAAGGTCATTACCATTGGGTGGGTGATAAAATATTAACTAGTTTTTCTTTGTGGTTGGGTATAGAGCGGTATGTGATGGGTGAGTGATGTTTTCCTGTCTACTTTTTGAGTTTTAGATTCTTTTTGGGGTGGGGCACACTTGACAGTGCTTGGGTGCTTCTCCTAGCTCTGAGCTTGGGGGATACCCTGGAGACGCTCAGGGGATTATGCTGTGCTGGGCATCAAGCTGGGCTTGGCACCATGCAAGGCAAATACCTTAACCCCTGCATTATCTCTCTGGCCCTTCGTGCTCACTCTTGCCCTGCCTCTAGCCCTTCCAGACACTAACCCACAAGTTGGGCGAGTGAGCTGCAGGGATTTGCTGGCTTTCTTTCCACAGGTGCAGCCCATCCAGCCCACACCAGCCGTTCCCCAGCCTGCTGTGGTCATTGCCAGCCCAGCCCCAGCACCCAAGCCATCTGCCTCTACTCCCATCCCAATCACCTGCTCAGAGACCCCTACAGTCAGCCAGTTGGTGTCCAGTAAGTTGCTCATGGAACAAGTTGTACAGAAAGGTCAGACTCTAATTAGAATACCCCAACTTCTTGAGACACTGCGCTCCTTAACCCTGTGGAGACAAAAGGGAAGGGCTGAGACCCCGGGCTTTCCTTTCTTAGTCTCTTCCTATTGGGCTGATTCTGATCGTAGTGATTCACAGTCAAGGCTGCCTGTCCAGCTGTTTTCTAAGAATCCTTGGCATGCACTGCCTCTTCTGTGGTCCATCATGGAGTATCTGAGGAATGTGGATGGCTGACGGGCGTGCTTGGGATCAGCAATAAGGATAATGGGGGAGAAAGTGCTGAAAGAACATGAAAAGAACATGAGTCCTTGGGGTTAGAGAGCCAGTATAGCAGGAAGGGGCCTTGCCTTGCACCTGGCCTACTCAGGTTCAATCCCTGGTATTCTGTATGGTCCTCCAAACCCTGCCATGGGTGATCCTTGAGCGCAGAGCCAGGAGTCAGCCCTGAGCACTGCCAGGAGTGGCCAAAAGGGAAGAGAGAGGTGGTGGTGGAGGAGGAGGGGAGAAAAAAATAAAAGAAAGGAAAAGGAAAGGAAAGGAAAAAGGAAAGGAAAGGAAAGGGAAGAGGAGAAAAGAAAAAGGTCCTTCCTCCTAGGCCGGAGCGATAGTATAGTGGGTAGGGCATTTGCTTTGCGTGACTGACCTGGGTCCTATCCTTGGAACTCTGAGCACCGCCAGGAGTAAGTCTTGAGTGTAGAACCAGGAATAACCTCTGAGTATCACTGGTTGGGACCCTAGAAGCCCCTTTCACCCCCCCCCCCAAAAAAAAGAAAGACAGAAAGACAGAAAGAGAAAGTAAAAAAGAAAGAAAAGAAAATAGTCCTTCCTCCAGATGTTGGTCCAGGTCCCTTCCCCCAAGTCTTGAGGGAGATGGGGTGATGAGGGTCTCAAGGATTTACAGGCCTTTGGTGACAGTCTTTATCCCTCTGTACTGCAGCAGGCCAGGCCAGTAGCTAGCTAGACTGTGATGATTCTCTGTTTTATACACTCACCCCTGATCCCTTCTTTTGACCTAGAGCCACATACCCCAAGTCTGGATGAGGATGGGATCAATTTAGAAGAGATCCGGGAGTTTGCCAAAAACTTTAAGATCCGGAGACTCTCCCTGGGCCTCACACAGACCCAGGTGGGCCAGGCTCTGACAGCCACGGAAGGCCCAGCTTACAGCCAGTCGGCCATCTGCAGGTGAGTGAGACTGACTGCCCTGGACCAGGGCAGGTCTACTCAGGTACCCGCGATCCTCACGGGGACACACATAAGCAGCCTCTATCATATTCATCTTGGATCAAGGTAAACCCCAAGGCAAGAGTTTGCAAAGACTGATCCAATTCTTCTGAAGTTTATCTTCCAATCCTGAACATTCTCTGACTTTGTGAGGAGGGTTTCTTTATTTTTGTTTGTTTGTTTGTTTTTATTAGTGAAACACCATGAGGTACAGTTGTAGACTTACACATTTTTGTGCTTGGTTTCAATTGTACAATGATCAAACACTCATCCCTCCACCAGTGCCCATTTTCCACCACCACAGGTCCCAGTATCCCTCCTACCCCCCAGCCCCCCATCCCACTCTGCCTCTGGCAGGGCATATCCTTTTGTTCTCGCTCTCCTTTTGGGTGTGTGGTTTGCAAAAGAGGCATTGAGTGGCAGTCATGTTCGGTCTATAGTCTACTTTCAGCATGCTTCTCCCATCCTGGGAGGATCCTCCCAACACCCTTTATTTGGTGTTCCCTTCTCTATCTGAGCTCCCTTTTCCCCTAGCATGTGTGGCTGGCCTCCAAGCCATGGAGCAGAATTCCTGGTACTAATCTCGGCCATTCTTGGGTGTTAGTCTCCTATTTTGTTACTTTATGTGCCCCAGATGAATGCAATCTTTCTATGTCTATAGAGGAGGGTTTCTTAAGCCCCAGTTCATTCAGGTGTCCTAGGAAGAAAGTAAAACAGCTTTTGGGGGCTTCGGTTGCTTCAGCCTCTGATCTTGCCACTCTGTGTTGAGCTCATCCTCACTTATGAGGCCGAACTCTGGGGATGGATCTGGGATGTGGTTCACAGAGGTGGAGCACCGCCTTGCATATGTGAGGTCTGGGTTTGGTTCCCCAACGCTACCTGGGCCCTGAGCAATGCCAGGAAGGCTCTTTTCTACCCTCCCACCCCTGCCAGAGAGAAAGCCACAGAGCTGCCCTTTCTGTGTGCAGTGCACAGACCTGGTATGGGGGCAGTGTCAGAGCAGGGGCGGGCAGAGGCCTTCCCACAACAGTACGTGTATGACGGGCTGAAGGCCTTCGTGCCCTGCGACCTCTGACAGTTAGACTAGTGATCAGGAGGGTGCCAGGCCAGACTGGGAATTTCTTTCTTTTTTTTTTTCTTCATATGGAAAAGAATTTTATTAGAGTTTATATTTTTACCCCTACTTCTACACTAGCACTGGTTCTTTTACTCTTTTTTATTTATTTATTTTTTAAATTTTTATTAGTGAGACACCATGAGGTACAGTTGCAGACTTACAAGTTTTTGTGCTTGGGTTTCAATCATACAATGATCGAGTACCCATCCCTCCACCAGTGCCCATTGCCCACCACCACGGATCCCAGTATCCACACCCAATAAGAGAGAGAGAACAAAAGGGAATGCCCTGCCCCAGAGGCAGGGTGGGATGGGGAGGATGGGGGGTGGGAGGGTTACAGACTGGGAATTTCTTGGGCACCTGCGGCTCAGGCAGAAAGAGGAACCCGCTTTGGTGATGTGGCTGTGAGGGTGCAGCTGGGGGGTGGCACTTGTCCTGGTGAGTCCCCAAAGACCTCCCTCACCTCACTGGCACGTGACAGCTCTGGATGACTGTCCACTCCCCTGCCGCCATGGGAATGGTGTCTATGATGACCTGGGATATGGGACCACCCGCAGGTCTGGGTTGGTGGCGTCTGGGGCGTGTTGATGGAGGAGTGGGGTTCAGTCCCGGCACTCCCCGTCAGCTCTGTAAAACAAAATCAAAAAGACATTTTTTTTTCACTGACCCTTCCTGGGCCGGGCCTCCCTCCAGGTTCGAGAAGCTGGACATCACGCCCAAGAGTGCTCAGAAACTGAAGCCCGTGCTGGAGAAGTGGCTCAACGAAGCAGAACTCCGGAACCAGGAAGGGCAGCAGAACCTGATGGAGTTTGTGGGTGGGGAGCCCTCCAAAAAACGCAAGCGCCGCACCTCCTTCACCCCGCAGGCCATCGAGGCGCTCAACGCCTACTTTGAGAAGAACCCGCTGCCCACTGGCCAGGAGATCACCGAGATCGCGAAGGAGCTCAACTATGACCGGGAGGTGGTGCGGGTCTGGTTCTGCAACCGGCGCCAGACGCTCAAGAACACCAGCAAGCTGAACGTCTTCCAGATCCCTTAGGGCGCCCCCAGCCTCGGATTCCAGCACTTTCTCCTTTCCCCTGGGTACAGACAGGTGACAGCGCTTGTCCCGGGTCCTAGGGCTCCACTGTGTGCATGTGCTGTCAGCTGCTCCCTCCCCTCCCCCACCAGAGCCCCAGGTTCAGGGCGGGTCCCTCTGAGGGAGGGGATTGTGGTGTTCCTTGAAGAAGCACTTTGCTAACTTGGGTTTGAAGGGTGAATTCTGGTGGGGAACCGGAAGTGCCCCATCTTGGGGGCAGGATTGCAGCAGCCCCTAAAGGACCAGTGACCGTTAGTTCTAATTTTGATTTTTGTTGTTGTTCTTTTTGGGTCAGACCTGGCGATGCTCAGGGGTTACCACTCCTGGCTCTGCACTCAGGAATCATTCCTGGTGGTGCTCAGGGGACCATATGGGATGCTGGGAATTGAACCCGGGTCAGCTGCGTGCAAGGCAAACGCCCTACCCGCTGTGCTATCTCTCCAGCCCCTAGTTCTAATTTTGAGTGGGGTTCTCTTTCTACCCCCTTTCTCTTTGCTCCTCTGTGTGTGGGGGCGCGTTGGGGGTTGGGGACAGACAGTCAATCCTCTGAGAGGACCCAAGGGGCACAGTTGAGAAAAGTGTCTGGACTGCAGGAAGGAAGGTTCCCAGAGCCCGAGGCCTCTGACCTGTCCCACTGCCCCCTGGTTGGAGGTGGGTACACGCAGTTCCTAGCAGAAGCTTTTCTTTGATAATCTGTGTTGGAGGGAAGCAGCAGTGAGCCCTGGCTATCTTGGGGTTGGCCTCGGTCTTCAGCAGTGTGAGAGCTTGGTAAAGAGGCTGTCCCTCCTGATCCTAACCTAATCTCTCTGCACAGTATCTTCCCTGCAGGAACAATGTGACGAGAATGCGCAGTGTGGCCAGGGCCAGCCGGGAAAGCAGGGAAAGGCATATGACTCTTTCTCTGGTCTTCCCACTCACCCCCGCCACCACCCGGCATCTAGAAGGGGGCAAATAAAACAATAAACCCAGCCAGGCCCAGGGAAAGGTCTGCAGCTAGAAAACGCAGCCTAGCGCGAAGCTTGGAGAGGGCGACTTCATTCACTTTCTTGGTAACTCGAACCCTACTCGAAGCACTTGATGTAGTTGATATTTAACTGGAGTGGAATGGTACTTTGTCCGGAGACTTAGGCCAGAATTTAGGTTCCAGACTTAGGCCTAGAACCCCCCAGGTGCCTGTGTTCCTGGATCAGAGCACCCCTGGGGCAGGATGGGTTTTGCCATTTTAGGAGATTAAGGGTTGGCATGACGTCTCAACTGTTGGCTAGTCCCCAGGCTCTCAGAGAGGGGAGAGCTCCAGGAGTCTGAGTCGTTTTCTCAGAGTAGCCTGGACTTGCAGTGTAGACCATCTCAAAAGGTTCAGCTGTTCCCCTCTTCACCAATCTTGCTGACAACCAGAACTGGTGCAGGGCTGGGGCTCAGCGGCAGGGCATTTGCTTTGCCTCGTGTGAGGCTCCATCCCTGGCAACGCCGAGAAATGAGTAGCAGAGCTAGGTCTCTGTCATCTGTGCCAGCTCAACTCATAGCACACTGTGGAGCCAGTGGTGCCTGGGCCAGGGAGCCCGATGTCTTCATCAGTCTCGCCACTGAGAGGATAAGCGCGTCCTTGCATCGCCTCCCTCCACTGTGTCCAGACCACCCGCAGCTGCCCAGGAGGTGGGTGCTGGGAATGTTTTCTAGGACTTAGTCTCGCCCAGTAGTGCCCCGCCTGGAGTCCAGGCGAAGAGGAATTCAAGGACCTGAGTTTGTCAGGGGGAGTCAGTTACTTCAGAAAACTAGAACTAGCAGGTGGGTTTTCACTCACAAACATGAGCATGGGGGAGAGAAGATTGGGTCCCGGTTTGTGCCCTGGGAGTAGCCCTGAAGCCAGGTGGGCACACAGGAGAGGTTGTGGGTTCTGTTCTCCCAGAAGTGAACAAGGGGAGGGACTTCGGCTCTGATGCTCTCCCCTGCCCCCACCTCCACCCCCACTGCCTGTGTCTCTCTCAACGCTCCCAGCTCCCACGGGTCCTGCTGGCCAATTCTCACATTCTCCCGTGTGGGGAGGACAGGCAGTCTCCCAGCAGGACAATGCCAAGGCCATACCAGTCTGCAGGCGCCACTCTGCATCCAGGGAGTGTCAGGGGTCTTGAAATATGCTCACAACAGAGCTCTGGGGTCCGTAATCTCTGGTCCCGGGGCCCACACATCCCTGGTCCCAGGGCAGCAGCTGTGGGCCTGAGGTGGGAGTTTGACTTAGTTTTAGTGGCCTCAGGCTCTGACGGGAGTTGAGAGATTTGTTTTTGAAAGCACCTTTTCGGACCTAGAGCAGAAGTCTCAGTGTCTCCTTTGCTTTGGAAAGGCAGGAGGAAAAGGTCAGAAATGAACGAGTGTGCGTGCGTGTGTGTGTGTGTGTGTGTGTGTGTGTGTGTGGTTTTTGTTTCTTTTTATTATTATTATTATTATTTTTTTGTTTGTTTTTTGGGTCATGCCCGGCGATGCACAGGCGTTATTCCTGGCTCATGCACTCAGGAATCACTCCTGGCAGTGCTCTGGGGACCATATGGGATGCTGGGAATCAAACCCGGGTCGGCTGCGTGCAAGGCAAACACCCTATCCGCTGTGCTATCGCTCCAGCCCCTGTTTTTGTTTTAAATGAAAGAAAGACCAAAACTTTCTGTGGCCTGGGGTGGTTGTTTCTTCACTAACCATGTATTTCATCTGGCTGGGGTCACAGAAAGGATTGTTCCAATGACTCAAGGGATACACTTGAATTTGGAATGACAGACCCTGACATTTCTGTGTCCTTGGAAAGTTGGTCACCTTTGTGTGCTTAGACTCCTTCTTGATTACGTTAGGCCAGGCTCTGACACTGCGGTTTGGACTGTCCGCTCGACACAGGGCAAGGCTTGCTGAGGGCTGGAGTGAGGGGCGGGAGGGGAACGGGGGGAGAAGCACTTGATGTAGTTGTGTGAAATAAACAGTATTTTTCTTTTGTACTGGTCTGCTTTTCCTCCTTCATCTCCACGTCAAAGCCACAGAAGTGCCCAGAGAAGCCTTTGCTGTCAGAGCTTGTAGCCTGGACAGGGGAGCGGGCACATGCAGGAGATCTGGATTCAGTTCCTTGCAACACAGAATCCCCTGAACCCCTTCTCAGGATTAGCCCCGAACACCATTGTGTAAAGGCCTCAGACCCCCCAACAGAACAAAGCCGAGCAAGAAAGCCCTATTCTCTGGAGCTCATGTTTGCACATGGACCCCCAAGCTGGGAGAAGCACCATGAGTAACCCTTGAGCACTGCCAGGTGTGGCCCCAAAACCAATCTCCCTCTTAGAACTTGAAAGAGGAAGCTTCCGTTTCTCCTTGCTAGCTGCTGCAAGTGGCTTCATTTCAGTTTTCCCCAACCTATGTTTTATTATTATTTTTTTATTTTTTTATTATTATTACTTTTTTATTTCGAATACCCATCCCTCCACCAGTGCCCATTTCCCACCACCATGGATCCTAGTATCCCTCCACCCCCCATCCCCCCTATCCCACCCTGCCTCTGTGGCAGGGCATTCCCCTCTGTTCTCTTTCTCCTTTTGGGTGTTGTGCCAACCTACGTTTTAGTCTCTTTTTGAGACTGGGGAAGTTTACAATTTCCAAAGACTGTAAATTCTGCCCTCCTTAGGATCACAGGAGACTACGAGAAAGGATCAATACCTGGGCACTGTCGTACCGTAGCACTGTCCTCCCGTTGTTCATTGATTTGCTCGAGCGGGCCCAGTAACTTCTCCTTTGTGAGACTTGTTGTTACTGTGTTTGGCATATCGAATACGTCACGGGGAGCTACCTGGGCATATGGCGAAATATAAATGAAAGGGTCTTAAACAAACAGTCCCCAGCAGCCTAAGTGGGAATACAGGATGTTAATCTTACCCCCCCCTTTTTTTTTTGCTTTTTTCAGGGGAGGGTCACACCCAGCAATGCACAGGCGTTATTCCTGGTCTTGCACTCAGAAATTACTCTGGCGGTGCGCAGGGGACCATATAGGACCATATAGGAATCGAACCCAGGTCGACAATGTACAAGGCAAATGCCCTACCCACTGTACTATTGCTCTAGCCCCTGTTAATCTTATCTTAGCAGCGCAGCACAAATGAGCCATAAATTAACACCTCTGGGAAATAAATGGGAATTCTCTGACATTTTGAAAAGTAGCATCAAGACCCCGCTTTCCTCTCAAAACTCTACAAAAGGAATCATGCATAACTCAGTCCTGTACTGAATTCCTCTTCTGCTGGGGAGTTTCTTTCTCTTCTACTTCCAATAGTCCTATTTTCTAACTCTAATTCTGATCATCTTTGTCACTCAATATTTCTTGAACATTTCAATATTCTTGAGAATATTGAAGAACTTGGGAATCATGGATGAACACAGAGACCTTCAGTCACTGCTTCTGCATCAAAATCAAACACCCAACACAGAAAGCCCTGGTCCACCCTCACATCTATGACCGTCCCTATGGGGTACTGGATCAAGGGCTATGTTTTTTCTCCTTCTAGAACTCAGCTGGTACCTAAGATCCCAGAATTATTTGCTTCCTGGTCCTCCTCTGCACAGTTGGTGGTGATGGTGGTGGGGGCAGCCAAGTTGTCAGGCTTTGACGGGCAGGCTATGCAGGCCTGAGGGTGTACAAACACACAGACTGTGTAGTGTGTGTTGGGCGTGAGGGGGACGAGTACGCAGATGCAGGCTGGGAATCTGGAAAGGGCAGCACTTTTTTGTGTGATTTGGGGCCACCTCCAACAATGATGCAGTTACTCCTGACTGCACTCAGGAATCTCTCCTAGACTGATGAGGGCTGGGGATGTAGTCCAACGGTAAACTTCATGCTTTCCATGTCAAGGCATGAACTCTTCTTTTTTTTCAGGTTTTGGCATATTGAATTCGCCATGGGTAGCTTGCCAGGCTTTGCCGTGTGGGCGAGATACTCTCGGTAGCTTGCCGGGCTCTCCGAGAGGGGTGGAGGAATCGAACTCGGGTCGGCCATGTTGGCCGCATGCAAGGCACACGCCCTACCTGCTGTGCTATCGCTCCAGCCCAAATGGGTAATTTTTTAATTTTAGCCAAGGACTATTCATCCACAGGGTGTACGGTACAGGCATACACATCATCCACCATTCACAAGCTATACCATACAGGCTTACACACCAACCACTATCCTACAGGCTGTATGGTACAGGCATACACTCCATCCACCATTCACAGGCTGTACGGTACAGGCATCCATGCCATCAGACA